AAAAATGTAATTTCCCAACCCATGTTACACTACAGAAATAAAAAGCTGCGGAAATCAAGGCTACCAACGTTGCTTTAAGTAGTTGAAAGCTGATGTCTTGTGAGGGGCTCCGTCTGCATAACGAAACTGTTCAGGGTGGTCTGTGCATCTGCCCTCAGCTCCACACACTGGGAGGGCAACCAGCAGCATCACTGGCCAGGACTGGGAGGGGAGTGGGGAGGCTCCCCTGCCCCAGCAGGATCTGGGCCAGCACCAAGTGACCGCATGGAAGTCTCTGCACACAACCCCCCACAACCCCACACTCCAAAGCAGCTGTCACCGCACCCTCCAGGAGCCTGAATGCTGAATTTCCAGCATCCTCAGGGCACAAACAACTGCAGGGCATCAAGGTCTGACTCCTCTCCCAGGCACTGCCGTCTCACCTGTCTGCAGAGCACACCCCAGGCACGAACACACACAGCACACGGTGCTCTGTGGTACGTGACAGCTGCAAAGACACCACTGCCCAGCCAGTGCTCCCAGTCCCAGCCCTGCTCCCCAGTTCCCTGCTCCCAAAGCACGCTCACTCACCCATGCACACCAACCGGGGCTGCCCAGCAGCAGCATTTCTTGGCTAAAGGCACACAAACAAAACAAAAACCAAAGCCTCCAAGTGGTCCTGAGATTTGGCATCACAGAAAGGAATCCCCTCCTGACTTCAGCTCTGATGATCAGCCATGGTGCTCGAGGTAGCTCTGCGAGGGTTTGTAGCAGTCAGAAATACAGAAGTATTTCCTTGTTCAAGCAAAAACAAATAAAATGACTTCACAGCTATGCTGCAGTGACAGACACTGCAGGTGATACTGTTGGGGACACAAAGCAGGAGACAACCTAAGATCCCTACATACGCCCCAAGATCCCTACACACCCCACAAACTCACCTGTGCAGCTGGCCACCTGGCTGTATGGATTGTTGCATATACTCGCTATGGCACAAAAATAAAGAAAGAATTGTGCAATCTCATTCTTCTCAGGAGAACAAACACCAGCAGAGCAGGGCGGGCAACCCGGGTCCTGCAGCCCTGCTGGAGGTTAGGGGTGGGCACAGAGAGCTGGTTACTGCCAGAGGACACCCACGGCCTCTGCAGCAATAAACCAGGCGGAGGCAGCTCTGCCCTGCTGTGTCCGGCAGGATTCCTTCTTCAGTGAGAGTGCCATCATCACTCATGGTATAAAACCCTCACACTTCTGCTTTTTTCATCCCAGAACAGCTGCAAGTACCGCTGCAATGCAACTGAAGGTGCAAACCTATTAAAGCCAATTAAAATCATTATTACTCCGGCTTTGTCAATGCCATCCTGCAGCAGGACATCCCGCAGCCTCGTACGCACGAGGTGGGAAGGCACGGAGCGTTTGCTTTCATCCAGCCCGAACCATTTGTCTTTCAGCCCCACTAAGTGACCTCTTGCTAAGTCATCTGGAGCTGTAAAGTAAATTGGCGCAACCATCTGGCTCGGTCCTGTTCCTTATTTAATATATTGCTAACATATCTGCCTGCATCTGATCGCTTTTATCGCTCCTTGCTAATTGTTCCTTTTTCATCCTGTGTTTCCCTTTCCCATTAAGTGCCGGCTATGCACGGCGGTGGGGAGCGAGGGCTGGCACTGGGCTGGGTCCCGTTTTCCACCATGGCCAGGGCACTACCCAGGAGGAGAAATTAGCAGAGGTGGAGGTTGGGGGGCATCCCGGTCACTGTGTGGGGTGGGAGGCGCAGGGACGCCTCAGAGCCGATGGTCCCTTCACCTCCCAGCCCAGGAAGGGGCAAATCCCAAATGGATGCAGGAGGGAAGCCCCCAAGGCGCCCCCTGAGTGCTGCCAGCCGGGGCAAAGGGAGCAGCGCTTGGAAAGCAAACAAAGGGAGCGAGGGGAAATGTCTTGGAGAGGAGATAGCGAGCGTGAGCTGTGAGTCTGAGGGGCTGTGTGTGCGAACAGAGGCTGCAGCGAGCAGCAACTTTGATCTCCCAGGACATCTGGCATGTGGGCACCGCCGTACAGCTGCCTACAGGGCAGGCCCAGGGCCGTGCGTGACTGGGACAAGGGGCTGAAAACCTGCAGCGGGAGCGTGGCTGCTTCCCATGCTCCTTCAAAGCAGGCAGGAGGCATCAGCCCCGGAGAAAACCCCGGTGCTGGTGGGGACGAAGCGGTGCCGTGGCTGCCAGGGCTCTGAGCAGAGACATCGAGGAGCCACCGGGGTGCTGGGCTGAGGGAGATGGCGTGAAATGGCCGCCGGGACAGGCCTGAGGCGCTGAGGGGCTTCCAGCCCTGGCGGTGGTGCTTATCATCACCAGTCGGGTGTCAGGCCCACCTCAACCCGTCCCACACCCGCGGGCCTCACAACCCAGTGCCTCCCGACCAAGAGGCGCTGTGAGAGAGGCGCTTCCCAAGGGAACGTGTGTCGGGAGGCAGGGAAGCGCGGCGGGGCGCCTTTCCCTCGGGAAGCCGAGATCACAGGCGGGCGGCCAAGGGAAGCGGGGCGGACTGGTATGCGCAGGCTGTGTCCTCGGGGAGAGCTGTTTCATATGCAGGTATGTCTTCAAAGGGGACACCCTGCGTGCTGCCGGGGTGAATTACCCTTGGGAACCTGAGCGGAGAGGCAGGCGCCCGCGGGAGCTGCATCCCGGGGCATGGAGCTGGATTGCCGCTTATTTTCCTACGGAAATGTAGTGGCGCAGGATCTTCCAAAAGCCCACGCAGCCTGGAAACCTCGGGGACCATTGGCAAGCAGGGCCATAGAGGCTAAAGTAAAGCTGCCAGCGTCTCCCACGTTGCCCGTGCTGCTGCTGGCTGCAGGCACAACCCCTGCAGGACGTCTCCTATTGCTCTGCCCAGCCAGCACGCCACCGCCCTGCAGCCTGCTCAGGAAGGGCAGCTTCAGCAAACCCTGGCAAATCCCCTGGGCAGGAGCACATCGTGCCCCAGCCACCGTGCCAAAAAACGCCGCTGTACCCCTCCAAGGCCATGCGGGAAGGAGCCCTGCCCCTGCCCCTGCCCCCAGCCCGCAGCAGGGTGATGGATTGCAATTCTCCTCCGCCACGGCCAAAACAAAGGTCACGGCCCGAGGAAATTGCAAACAACTTTTGCCCACTGGCCCCGGAAGGATCAGTGCAGGCGTGACAGGGGGGGTGAACTTTTTACGATCCCTCCATGCTGGCAGTCTCACAGGGAAAGGAATTTAGAAACCACAGCAGGCGCTGGGCAGGGAACATGTGGCCTGCCTGGTGCTGACAGAGGAGGAGCAGCCTCACCCACGGGCAGGAAACACCGTGGCAGGCCTGGCCCCTGCCCACCGCCTCCTCTCCAGCAGGGCTTTCTCCATCTCCTCCCCGAAACATCTTCCTCCTCCATCGGGCACCCCAAAGACTCCTTAGCTCCAGCAAAGCCGTCCCACCCTGTGGACAGAAGCTCAGTGCTGAGCTCTCTGCGGGAGCTGAGGTTGTTTGCAGATAGGAAAAAAGGTGAAGAATGAGGGGGAGACGTGGGCTGGCCTGATGCTGCCTCCCAGGCCGCCGATAGCATCTTGTCGAGGCCGGGACATGGCATTTCCTCCAGCACAGATAAGCTTTGTCCAGGCCATAGCTGCAAGGGCGCTGTGAGCGCAGCGGCTTCCCGGCCCCTGGGACTGGTTCCAATTAGTGTCAGTGCCGGCTGCGCCCCTGATTAGAAATCTCACCCTGCTGCCAGCCCCCCCGACCCACACAACATTTCCTGGGACTGGGGGAGCAGCCAAAACCCAGCCCTGGCACTCCCCGACCCACCCCAGGAGCGGGGATGCCATCAGCTCCTGAGCAGGCCCTTTATTTGGGCTTTCTCCTCTCCTCGTAAAATGCTGGCAGGCTGACTTAGGGCACACAGGGGAAAAGAGGAGCTGCAGGAACAGGACGAGGCCCTCGGTTTGGCCAGCGAGCGTGGGGTCCCCCATCGCACGCATCTTTTGTGAGCATCCCTTTGCAGAGGCAGCCCAGGAGCCCTGAGAGCCGGGCGCAGGAGGTGCAGATGGGCCCCGTGGCGCAAGCTGGCTACCCTGCAAAGCTGTTTTGGCAGCAGAGGAAGATGTGAGCAACAGCATCTGTTACCATCCCGGGAGGAGACAGAGGGAGCTTTCACCAGCCACAGCCCGGGAGGGCAGGGGGGGCACGCAGCGTGCTGCCGGGAGCCCCCCTGCCCCCGCCTTCTGCCATCCATCCCCTGCTCCACGTTTGCTGGCACCAACTTTGAAAGAAATCACATTAATTTTGCCCTGATGAAAAGCTGCTGGATCAGCAAAATGGAGCTGCTTATTCAGGGAGCAGCTGAGCAGGGGCCAAGCGCAGTCACCCCCCTGTACCTCCAGCAGCCGCCAGGCCCGTTCACGGTTTCGGTGCCCAAACCCCTGTGAGAAAGGGCTGCGGTGGCTCTCAGCACCCCTCTGCTCAGAGGGCTGCGGCCACTGCCACATTTCACACGGGAGGTTTATTAAACAGCAAACGGTCTCCATAGGGCTGCGGAGCTGCCTGTGGGCTCAGGCAGCTTCCTGCTCCTCTGACAGCCCCCGAGGGCCTTCACCCCCTACCCTGCCTGGCAGCGAAACGGCACAAAGGGAACCACACCGGCTCGGTCGGTTCGTCCTTCACAGCAGCGTGACACCGTGGGCTTCACCCCGGGGCAGCCGCCCTTATTAAAGCGCAGAGAGGCTGGGGGTGAGCACAGGGCACCTGTGGGAAACCGGTGACACCACCTCGTTCCCACAGCCGGGCTGCTGGTAGGCAGACAGCTGTGCTTCAGGAGGGGAAACGATCCCAATTAGCTTCCCAGGTGCTCTCCTGTAAATGGTTTTCAGGTGGTCCCACTACCTCTGACCACAGCCCAGGGCTTTGTATCTCTAAAAAGACCTCTGTGATCCCCTCCCGCCCCTCTCCGACCCCCCTGCAAAGGAAGAGGGAGGACATCCCAGAGACAAGAAAACACACGCACAGCAAGGGTGATTGCTATTTTAAGAATGTACTTTATACAAAATAACCAATTCATATGGAAATAAAATCTACAGACCTCCAAGGATCAAGCTTTTAAAAAAGTTCTTTAAAAAAATTACCCAACACACAGTATTAAACTAACTATTGAGGTAACTGTCGCTCTTGGGGAACAAAGGTAATCAGCAGACCAAGACAAAATATACACAATATAAAAATAAATAGCATTCCCCTTTCCAGTATTGACCAGGAAAGTTCACACAACTTTGCAGCAGCAGCAGGAGAGAGAAGAGGATCCCTGACACTGTGCTCTACGGGACGGGGAGGGAGGCGGGGGTGAGCTGGGAGTGGGGTGACAGCAGGGGCAGTGGCTCCAGCCCGAATTTGTTCTTGCACGGAGAGGTGTGCGCCTCCCAGCCCGGCCTTCCCTGGCTCAGCAGCACGGGCAGCCGGCCAGCTCGGGGTCTGCCTGAGCCGGAGAAGAGCAGCACCAGCCCTTGGTGTGATGCCCCACCAGCCAGCAGAAGACCCCGGTGCAGATCCCTCCGCCGAAGGATGCAGGCAGGGGTGGCTTTCACAGCCTTGGGGGGAGGTCTCTGCTGCAGTGCCCCCACCTCCCGGTGCCCTGGGATAGCTGTGAGCGGTGGCTGGGGTCAGGAGTTTGCCCCCGTGGCTGCTGGGCCCCCTCCCCGCCAGCAACAAAACCCGCAGCGATGCAAGAACAGCCTCACCCCGAAGGAGGAAGGCCCCCATTTCCTCCTCATGCCCCCGACAGACAGATTACATTCTTTACAAACTTACAATAATACAAAACAAAAACAACAAACCCAGCCACCCCACACCACCCAGCTGCAGAAGGACAGATGTAGAGGCACAGGCGCCCGCTGCCTCCAGCCGTGGGTCGCTCCGGGGTGTGCCCACCCCTCTCCTCCCTGCTCTGAACCCAGGCTACGGACGAGGCTCAGCTCCAGCTTGCTCCCTTCCCACCCTCAGAAGAGTGACCGGCTCTCTCCTGGCCACCTAAATCAACCTGACAGCGGCTGGGAAGGCAGCAGGAAGCCCCTTGCTCCCCCAGCGAAGTCGGGAGCCCCACAGCGCATTTTATGGCCGTCCTCTGCTTGACACAGCAGGGGAAGGTCGAAGCTGCACTGCTGCACATTATTATTGCTCAGGAAAATCAGGCAGCAGTTGAGCTAGCAAGGAAGAGAGGTAACAGGTTTCAGGGCTGCACACAGTGTGTATTTTTAACCAAAGCCACCTTGGAGGTAGACACGGCAGGGTCCCAAGAGGGGCCTTGTGCTGGCAGGGGGACAGACGTCGCCGTGCCAGGGTGGTGAACCCCGGGGGCACGCGGGGGAACGCTGCTTAGCCACGGGGACACCTTCACTCCCGTCACAAGGAGGGCAATGCTTGCTCCCCGCCTGCTTCCTACATGCATATGCAGAGACAGCTGGCAAGCCCAGCCGCCTGCCCTGCCCTGCGCAGCGAGCTCTCAGCTCCGCGGCTGACAGCGGTGAAGCGAGCAGAGGGGGAGAAAGCGAGGGGAGGGGAGATGTCGGTGCGTGACACGAAGGGCGACCAGAGGACTTTCCAGAGTACAAGTGGAGGGCCAAGCTCCTGTCCTGCCTGACTGGGTTGGGAAGGGGAGGAGGCTCCTCTGACGTGCCCGGCAGCGCTCGATGCGTGAGGCATCTGCTCACGCTGAAGGCTGAAGGAGCCCGTCACGGCCACCTGGCCCAAATTCATCCACCACAGTGGCATCTGCCCACACGCTAAGTAGAAGTGTCACTAAGTGTCACTTCTACTTCAGTTTTTCCAATTCCTACCCTTCTGCTGGTGAACCATGTGTTTCCAAATTAAAAAGGCAAAGGACAGAGGAACCTGCTACAACTGGTGACAATCCCAATTATTCCTTAGCCCTAATTAGTCCTTCAGCCCCTCTTCCACTGCTGGATGTAGCTCTCTCTGGCTCCTGGATGCACTATCCTCTGATATCCTACTCTTCAGAAAGAGGAAGACCTTTTCCAAAAGAAATCTAGGCCACTGTTGCAGAATGAGGAGAAAAAAAACAAGTGGACACAAGGCCAGCTGCAGTGAAACCACACAGCGCTCCGTGGTCTCTCAGATACCGCACGTGAGCAAAGGCAGGACAGCAGCCAGGAAGGGCACAGCATCACGCTGCACGTTGAGGAAACGTTTGGATGTTACCTCCTAGCTTCAGATACATACACCCTGCCCTGAATTCTCTTCCCTATGGGCAGACTGAGCTTTGCTGCCTCCATCCCAGCAGCTCCTACCCGAAGGTCCCCCCAGCGCCTTTTCAGAGCAGCGTGCTGGAGGGAGGTGGGCAGCAGAGCGAACACCGCAACGCTCGGTTCATTATGTGCTGGTTAAAAGCGTTTTCCTTCCGCATGGGCGGCAGGGGTCCTGCCAAGCCGGAGCGTGCTCTCCCCCCATCTGTATGTTAAACAGGTACAGATGGGGAAAGGCTGGAAGGTCACCGTTTGAGATGCTTTCTTGGTTACAATAAGCACACGCTCTTAAAGCTTGTCACATGGCCCGCAGCTGCACCACCACTTTCATAGCCTGCTATCTCAATCTCAGGAAGGATACGGCACTCACACACCTGCTGTTCAACCACCGGCACCGGCCTTAAAGCGAAACAGGAATTCTGCCAGAGCCGACTCCTCTGCTTCCCCTCACGTCCTGCGGCACCTTCCCCGAAACTCCACGGCGCACAGCGCAACGCCGAGGCGTCTCCTTGGGAAACCAACCCCGAGCAAAGCCACAGAGAGCAAAGCAATAACTCTGGCTCAACGCAGAGATGCAGAAGACTGACAGGGATCGGCAGAAGAGAGAGATGCGGGTTGTCGTCTAATTATACTTTCATTTTACATGGAGAAGTGTTGGGGTGTAAAGAGAGAGGAGCTGCAGGGAAACTGCCTCAGTCAGCAGAATGAAAGACAGCCTCTGTGACTAGCTTTCAGATAAGACATCAAGCTGATAGCTCTCCAAGACCCTGAGAAACCACACTTACAAAAATATACACAGGAGATTTGCTTCAGAAAGCCTGCACGGGAAAGGCATTTGGCAGACAAGAAAGAATTAGAAACTCTTCCAAGAAAAGTGTCTTCATGTACTTTAGAGTCACAAATCAAGCCAGTTGGGCCTTGAAACTTCAAATTTACTTTCCTCTTTTGTCCTCCTCATTGCAGACTGGTGTCTTGGACTGCTACCAAGTGGTTTGGTGGGTCACACCATGGAATTCATAAACTGCAAGCTTCTGCTGGACGCAGCTAAAAATCACTGTGAGGCCTGAGCTACTGACCTGCTTAAAATACTTAGTTGAACTGCCAGGGCCTGTAGTGCTTAAGATGTCAAAAGCCACCAGAGTCCCAGGGGAGGCTTATACAATGGCATTTATAATGGCAATCGAGCATCCAGGGAGCCTGTGAACACCACACACCACTCGCAAAGACGGAGGTGGTGGGGAGAGCGAGAGGCTGAAAAGCCAGAAGACAAGTACAAAGCTGCTCTGGGAATATTGGGAACTTTTGGCTTGCTCGGCATCATATTCGTTCTTCCTATTATACAGCCTTGTTTAACATGGATATCCATAATTACAGCAAAACACGTCCTCCATATGGGAAAAGTAAGGGAACTTTGCAAAGTCCCTAGCTCAATATGCTTTCTGAAAAGGGTCCAACTGGAAATATATTATATTACAACAACGCTGGGGGATGAAAAAGAGGGGTTCCAATCAGTCCAGAATCTCTCTATATTCTGTTAAAATGTTATTTGAGAGAGTGATGCAAATACAACAGTCAAAAGCAAGGATATTTTAAAAGGCAGCTACCTTTCTCCTGCACTGTAACACCGACTCATGGGGAAAGAGGTACCATCCTGTCCCTAAAGGGCTGCCATTCCTCTCTTCTAAAACTCTCCTTAAACCTGTCTCTTTCACAATGTCTACAAATCGTCCTGCACAGCACAGGTTAGGAAACCATAAACAATGCAATTCATGTTTTCTGCTTCTCTCCATGTACTTTTGCTTTTGTTCTACCTTAGCTATCTGCTCCCAGTCCCTGGGGGCTCTGAGGGGTGCAAATTTTCTGAGGGGTGGTTTGTTCAGATTGTACCTAGCGAGACAGAGCTCTCATTTTTGGGGGATGCCTCAATGTCATCACAAAATCACAAGCAAACAAAACCAACTAAAAACAAACAAACACAACCAAACCCACAAAACATTTACAAACAAAGCATTTGAAAGTCTGGAAACTCCGAGCTAAGGTTCCACAAGCAGCTCTTGATCCGAGCATGCCCCGTCCCCAGGATGTCCCTGCTGCCCAGCCATAGCTCCCCCTACGCTACGTTAGTGCTTTTCTAATACAAACCATGTGTCCTCCCAGAAGCAGCTCGTTAGTCGCTTTAACAAGAATTACCAACTACATCAAAAGCCTTTTACCTAGAAAACCTCCCAAGGGGAGGGAGCCAGTTTCACTGCTGTTTCACCTACCCTCTGCAAGTCACCTCCTCCCTGGTTTCCCATTAGGTCAGGTAAGGGACTGTACCTTCACGTCTCATACTCCACGTAGGATCCTCACAGTATCTATCTATCGCTCTCTAACGCTCCACTACCCTCTCTGCACAGGCCACAAGCAATTCCTGCCTTTCTTATTCCTCCTGATTTGATCTAGGGTTGGTACTCATCCAAATGCCATGACCACTAGAAGCGTGTTTTCAGTGCTGGTTCCAGCTGAAGACCAAGAGTGCTTTGGCTTGTTCATTTTGTACAGCTTCAAAACCTCCTGTTCCACAACGTTCACATTGAGCTGAAAGGCACTTCAAATATTTGAATAGCTGTCCATGATACAGGAGACACAGGCTGAACTATGGCAAGGGTTGTTTGCAGAATCTACGTTCACATTTCCAGAATTTCGAATACTTTGCTACATTTGCTATATTTCACAGTTCCTCCATTTTTAATGAAAATGAACTAAATGAAGATTGCCTTAAAAAGAGATGCAATAGTTTTCTCATTTGTCCCGTTTGTATTATTATTTTTTTTTTGTCCTGAAGAGCAGTTATACTTGCATGCCTTTTCAAAAATACCTATTACTGCTTCAGTGAAAGAAAAGCTAAATCCAGACTTGCATTTCCCAGCAGCTGGGGCCCCTCTGAAAACCCAGTGCCAGCTGATAAGCCAGCAGTAGACCCTCAGATTTGGGACAAACTCAGATCAGCCACCGCATAGTTCTTGGCCGGGTAGCGCAGTTACCAGCTTCTCACTCCAAGGACAACCTTCAGGATTATCTATTCCAGTTTATACCAATCCACCAGTGACAGCTGTTCCCTGACTGAGGAACACAAACAGGGGAAAAAAAAAAAATCTCGTTTTAGTAAAGTAGTTGACATTAAGCTGAAGTCCTCCTTTGGGGAGGAGCCTGCTAAGCCAGGCAACTCACTGGACCGAACAGAGAGCAGCTGTGGTTCAAAGGCTAGCTGCAGCAGTGAGTAAGGAGAAGTGAATTTATAAACACACTTGTGGGGCTCGCATGAAGAAATTTAACTCCTCTTAGGCTTGGAAAATGCCTTGGCTCTACACAGCTTGTCAGAGGCAAAACTGCAGCAACAGGGACTGAGGCTGATTTGTAAGAGTGGCACTAATATATCAGTCTTTCCTCTTTCTTTTTCAAGAAAGACCACTTCTTGTCTTCTAGGCCCTTTGTGTTTCCAGAAGCTGAGGACAGAAGGAGTAATGGCTCAGTCAGATGCTACCTGCCATTTGCTCAAACAACTGTGCCAGCACATGGTCAATACACACAGCAGGACACAGGCAGTGTGGCCATGAACGCTAGTGCAATCTAGCTAACAGGGGTGACAGCACCATCGAAGGTGACAAAGCAGTCAAAAATTCTCCAGGAGCTTGGAGAATAAAACCTTCCCCTGGCTGGTACTGCTGACCAAAGGGCACGCTGCTCTGTCCTCACGTGCTCACTTCTGCTGCCACTTGTGCTCCCGCAAGCACAATTTTTTGGCCAGCACATTGGCACGTCCTTCTTAACTATATATAAATACACACACACCGCTGTCCTGCCAGAGCCAGCCTGCACTAGGGCTCTGGTCCAACAGACCTTGCTGCCCAGTCTTACAGCACAGCAACTCCACCTTGCCTTACCCCGACTCCCCCGAGAATATTCAGCTGTGCTAGTTTCAAGGTATGGATAAGCAGCTGCAGAAGAGATGCCTACTGAACTGATGTGTCAACGAGGGGCTCCCCGTGCAGTGCTGCTGCTGTGAGAAGTGCCTGCAGACCGAGTATTGCCCTTGAGGGAAGCTGCCACTGTACTTGCTGCTACAACATCAAAAACAACGGAGGTAAACTGACTCAGCTCAAGCACACGGCTCTCTCATCGCCCACTGCCCAAGCCATTCCACCTCAACATCTGATTTCAAATCAGTGCTTTCTGAATCACCGGCTTCTTGTAAACACCAAGCCCAACTCTGCTGGCCAACAAACAGCTCACGCTAGCAAACAAACCATTCCCCCAAAACAGCCTTATACTCCTGCTTTCACAGGCAACTGAGAGCGGTCAGGAATCCTGGTGTGGTTTCTGCTTTGCTGCTGCTAAGAGGTGAAAATAGGCAAGGAAAGAGAAAGAAAGGAGGGACGTGGTTCCCCTCCTCAGGCAGGGAGGGGTACAGACCTGCACATTTGTTCTGCTGGACAGGTGCTGCTCCACACCCAGCTGCACTGGTTTCACAGAAAGAGGTCTAAGATGACCATTTGTGCCATTTTCTGTTTTCTAGAGCTTAACTTAATCTTACGAAAAAGGCAGGGAGGAGGGTACTACGCTAGCAGAAGGGACAATGCTATGAGTGTCCTGTCCTGGTTTCAATTCCTGGTCCTGGTTTCCTTGTTCCCCCACGATGACAGGGAGCTGGAAGTGCACTCAGGCCCTGGATCCAGAGGGGTGGAGGCAGGGGCGAGAGGGGAAGGAGGAAGAGGAGAAGAGAAAGAGGAGGACACGTTATGCCCCTGAGCAATCCCTGCTATTCAGTAAAACAACTACAAGTTGGTGTCTCAGTTGCAGAGGACAGCAAGTCATCCATTGCATGTTCCCTCACCTCTCCCCACTCCCACGAAACCCTCACCCTATCCTGAAAGATTTCAGTGTGATATGATTGTAAACAGTTAAGGATTCCTCCAGTGCTAAGCCCACTACAAGCTGGGCCCACCCCCTCCCCCATTATGTACAATACATTCACCAACAACAGAAATTTATTTAAAAAGGCAACAGGTTAAATTCTGTAAACTGGATCCAGCTCCAAAACACACACGTTAATACTACAAGTAAAATTCCATCATCGTCCTCTTCCACCCTGAAAAATATACCTGAGTTTAGCAGTCAATGAAAGTTTCAGCCCCCACCCCCGCCCTCCCCACCCCAAAAATCCCTCAAACCCTGAACGAGACGCAGTCTCCAGTCACGGAAAGCCACTAGGTTTGGCGATGCTCGCCCTGTGGTGGCGAGCCAGCTGCTCGGCCGGCTGGGGCCCTGCACCGCTCCGGGTTTCCAACACAAAAGCCGCCGTGGCACCATGCTCCACCGACCCGGGAAGCTACGTGCTGCTTGGGTGAGGGGAGGGTGGGAGGAAGGCCTGCCCCTCCTCCCCCTTGTCCAAATCACGTGTGGCTTTCGTCTTCATGAGGTCCTTCCTTCCTTGGACTAGCTCTGGAAGAGGAAGAAGAAGAGTTGGAGACTTTAACAGCCAGCTGTAGGAAGGAACAGCCTCACAATTTCATGCAATTACTTCAAAGCTAGCACTACGTCAGCCCAGGTTGTGTGTTATAGACAGAGACATCCCCAGTTCCTCTACCTAACAGTGAGCTCACTTCCCAGCTTCCTCCAATGCTTCCCACTCTTGGCAAACATTTCTGTCCTTTAATTGTCACTAAGAAAAGAGGCTCTCATCTGAGCTCTGCTCTCTTGGGTGACCCTTACTTGATCCAGAGGCAACGCTGATGGTTTTTGTGGCGTCAAATCTTCCCGGGACATGGTTGCTGTAGGCATCTTCGGGAAGGGAACTTGAGCCTGATGCATTTGCATTCTGGAGCCAGGTTGAATGGAGAGAGTTTTAGCACATGAACATCAAGAGCAAACCCCATCTACTTGACCGAATGCATACACACACAACTTTCACATACAAGTACGTATTTTGCATGTCTTCTTTTTTAAGGCTTCCCCCCCTCCCCAAACACAAACTTTGACTCCCGTCCCCCTCCCCCAATGACACAGTTGTAACCCCTCAACACTAGGAGAAGAAAAGTCCTTTGGGTCCTTTTTCTCCACATCTGCCTTACAAGATTTACTGCTCAAGTCATGCTGGAACTATCGCAAAATGGTAACAGCTGAAGCACATTTACGAAGTCTGAACAGGGAATTTTTGGAGTAGCAAAATTTTCCACTTGGGAATAAAACTTAATATGCAAAATCTCAATGAGACTTGATTTTTCTTTAAGGGAAATATGAGACAGAGAGGAAGGGCAAAAAAGAAAGAAGAGGGTGACATTAAAGTAGAGGAGTTCGTAACAAGAGGCTAACTTCCACTTCAGTTAGGCACTATGAGAAAGATGAAATGAAATTCTTGCAAAGAAATTGGTACAAGACCCTTTGATTAAGAGATGCACAACACTGGACAACATGTTAACAAAATACTCTCAGATAAAACAAAGCACCAGTGTGGAGACGGACAGGAGAGGCTAACAGGTTTCCACGATGCCTAAAATTATGCGTTTTAAAAAGCTGCAGCAAGACTCTTTTCGTTTCCCAGAACGGTCTAAGGGACCTCTTACTTCAAGAGTCTGAGTAACCCGTTAGCCTTTCACATTACCTGCCAGCTCCTCCGACTTCAGCCTGGGCGTTTCAAGAATACCCAACACACATGGTTACCCAGGCATCGCCCCCTCCCACCTCTCCTTCTCACAGAAAACACGCTCTTACCCCGATGATCTATACAAGTCCTGGGGTGGCCCCCCCATGCCACCTCCACTGCCTCTCTGCTCCATCAGCAAGGCCTGAAAGTGACCTATGTTCTCCTCCCGGCAGCGGTACAGGGGTCCCTCCTGAGAGAGGCCGTTGGCCTGGCCAGAGGCTGGATGATGATGAGACAGGTGGGCATTCATGGGCGATCCGTATGTCCTGGGTTGGAAATGGCTGGCGGGATGCCGGGATGCATAGGGAGAGCCAGTCTGTAGCATCACCCCGTGGGGAGGGAAAGCCGACGGCCCAAATCCCATTCCCGAACCCAGGTGGGGCGGGGGAGCTCCGTAGAGGAACTCTCCTGCTGCCACTGAGCTTTGCCTCTTCGTGGCCGCGTTGTGGTTGTCCAAATCAAGGAACTCTTTGGGACTCTCCGGCCGCTCCTGCGATTCCTCGGACTTCTCATCTTCAGGCCCCAGATCCTGCCCGTCGCTCGGAGAAACCTCTTTGGCACTCGCTACGTCCATGCGGTTGGGAGAAGCCAGGGCAGCGCTCAGCGCCTCGCAGCCCTGCAAGCCGCTCACGTTCCCCCGCTCGGAGAAGGGGGGTCTGGCCAGGGGCGGGTGGCCACTGGGGCTGGCCTGGGGGTGCAGAGGCCTCTGCCAGTCCGAGTAGCCCTGCGGACAGGCGTAGTAGGGCGGCCGCTGGTAGTGGTGGTAGGAAGGTTGAGGCTGGGGCTGGTAGGGATAGGGCATGCCCTGGTGGGGCCGATAGCGGGGGAAGACCCCGGGGTGGGCGTTGCTCGGCTGGAAGCCCCGCGAAGGGAAATGCTGCGGGTGGGACACGGGGGGAGGCTTGCCGCCCATCACCGGGCTGAAGCCTTGCAGCCCTGGGTTGATGTGGTACCGGGCGGCCGAATTGGGGTACTCCAGACCAGGCATGTAGAGAGGGTGGAACTGGTTGGGGGCAGCCCCCACGGTGCTGGCGTCCATGGCAGGGAAGGCCGGTGCCCTGCCCCAGGCAAGGCACGGCCGCTTCAGGCACAGCCTTCCCCCCGCCGCAGAGGGGCTTCTCCATCAGGCTGGCGGCCAGCCCCTTCCCCTCCGCCGGCCCCTCGCCCGCTGCCCCGTTCTCAGGCACGGGCCCTCCTCGCTCGGAGGTGGGCGCCAGGTCCCTCACGCAGCCCTGTGGGCCAGCGTAGCCGCTCTCGGCCGGCCAGGCGCCCTTGCTCTGCCCTGCCTTCAGGTCGCTCTTCAGGCCGGAGCCGTCCCCCTCCTCTGGGGGCAAGGCGCGTCGGGTGCACTCCATGGGCAGGGGGGGCTTGGGATGAGGTAGGAGTTTGCCGTAGGCCCCGTCGGGAATGCCGATGCACTGAGCCTTCTCCTCCACGCCCGCCGGTGGCTCCACTGGAAAGAGAAATGGGAAGCGTCAGGTGCTGGTCTTGTTTTGCACGTCAGCCCTCCCCACCCCACAGGCACACTCACCCAAGGCAAATTTGCCAAAGAGGAATTCCTGCCAGCTCAGCCAGATGTGCCAAAACAACCTCCTACCATCTACTTTTGACAGCATGAACAGCAGCCTCGGTCATGCTGGGCCTCCCTCCTCTTTGGCTGCTGACACAAAGCCCAAGCGAAAACCTGAGGGCCATCCAAATCTCCAACATTTGGATGGAGAAAGTACCCTATCTTGATGAACTATTAAAATGGAAGAGGAGTGACTTTATAAGCTGAGCAGATGTTTCCATCAAAGACCTTGAAGTAAGTACCTCAAAGCCTACAACATCCCATCCTCTACTCAGACGTCTTCACAAGATGGCTGGAGCACAGCATCATGCTAACTGTGGGCTTTGTGGGGCTGTAGTCCCCCTCCTACAGCCAATACCATTCTTTCAGAGACCCATAGCAATTCCAAACTTTGCAAAGTTGGCTGATTTTTTTAAAAGAACTCTTTTAAGTTACTCCTAGTGTAGCACACCTCTCTCGTAAAGACAAGGCATGTGAACTGAAGCCTTAAGATTTCCGTAAGATACAGCTCCAACTGCAGTTTGCAAACCACCTCCACCAGAAAAACATGGCACATGTAGGTTTGCTCTGACACGTGTGTACAGAGGCTGCCCCATGGAGAAGCAGCTTTGGGAAATCCTGCAGAAGCCACATGAGAGCAAGCTAAGAGCCAGGGCTTTTTTGATTTTACACTGTGTTGCCCCTTCTGGTTCACAAAGCTTGTTTGCCCACAGCTGGGCAAAAGCACTACCACATAGCAAGGTACTGTGAGGCTGATCACAGCCATATTTTAATCAACTGTGATTTGGAGATGCGGCCGCTCTGCCCTGTAATCACTCAACGTCCTCTTGCAGTCTCTGTTCTATATCCAGCACAGTTAAATGATAATGAGTTTTAAGCAATGCCACACAAGGAAAGAGTTTCCGTAGTCCAAGGCACACAAGGGATCGATAAAAGATACAAGGTTTTTGATCTCTAGTTTACCAGCTAAAATTAATGAAAAAAATTGTTTTTGATCTCTAGGTTTTTTTGATCTCTACTTTAGGTTTGTTTTAAGTTTTTTTTTTTTTGATCTCTAGTTTACCAGCTAGAATGAATGAAATTCAACTAGAAAGAAATTTGTGGTGGCATACATGACACGCTGCCATCTCATCTGAACTGACATGACTTTTCAGTGCCTTTCTGGCAGTCCTGTTCTGTGAAGATTTTGAGATGCTAAGCTCAGAAGGCACATGTGCATTTCAGAGGAGAAGCCATACTGACATATATTCAAGGAAGTGTATTCAAACTATTTCTTCGCATAATGTCTTCTCTCCTTACCTAACTCTTTGCAGATTCAATTTTTATATTAAATCCAAGTGAGTTCTAAGAAGCATTACAGACTTACAGACCGTGCACCCAAGGGCAAACTGATAACTTGCAGGTATAACTGGGATGGAGGGGACCTCTGGCAGGTTACAGTGAAATGAAAAATCTTAGAAAAATCTACGTGATGGCTGGAGCAGAAAAGATATTCTGATTTAGAATTTGAAGAAAAAATAAAGATGTGTATAAACTATGTGTCCCACAACTATTTAAACAAAAAATTAATCCTTTTCTAGAATAGAACCTGCTTTTGTTGCTGATCTTCAGCCAGTGTTTAAAATGGCCCCCAGTGAGCCTGACAGTCAGAGCATCTTTCACACTTCTCTAGCGGTGCAAATCCAAATAAAGCCACATCTGCAGATGCAGGCTTTGTGCATCTGCAACACAGTTAAGCTCAGGACCGCAAGAGTCTGGAGCAGCAAAGCTAAACTATGGGGTGTTCCCCAGCTCCTCACAAGCACCCACCCACTGCGTGTGAACTCACAAACGCAGGGCATAGCTCCTCGCTCCCTGTGGCTGCTTGCACACCCTTGATGTGTGCAGACATGGAAAAGGATCCACGGGGCTGCATCCTCTGCTGAGGTCCAGCAGCAGCAAGAACTGGGGAGAAGCCTCTGGGTGGACTTCTGGTCAGTGCCATGGGGAGTTACCTTGGTTGCTCTCCGGCTCCATGGTCTGATCCTGCGAGCTCCCGTTGCCCATGACCGGCTTTGGGGGTGGCACACCAGCAGAGGCGGCGTGAGCCAGCTGGGGAAAGGGTCCAGGGAGGTGCGGCGGGGGTGGCTGGCGAGGGTGGTAAGGCACGCCCGGCGGGCACACGCGGGAGGACAGCTGCTGCATGGCGATCATCTCTGGGCTGTCCATCATCGAGTCCCCACCCTGGCACCCTCTCTGAACCTGAGCCGGTCCCCCGAACAGAGCGGCCGGCGGCTGCGGCATCCTCTGGCCAGCAGCTTTCCCGGGTGGTCTGATGTACCCTGAGGGAGGCACCCCGTGAGGTAGGAAGTTTGATTGCTCAGTCCACTGGCTGGGAGGCAGAGGAGGCCGTAAGGCCCGGGGCTCCATCATGTGGCCGATGGCGCGGGGCTGCAGCGAGGGCGCTGGCCCCATGGGTGCCTTCTCCTCCGGCCCCACGGCACCCTGGCTGGCGGCGCTGTGGCTGCCATTCCACAGGGCCGGGTGCCCACGGTTCAGGTACTTGTAGGGCCGGTACATATGTCCAGGGGGCATCTCCGAGCCTTCTGGCGGCCTCACCGGAGGCCCGTTGTGCCTTGGAGGGAGGAAGCCCTGCTGGAACTGGGCTGGCGGGTAGACGGCGTCCGGAGGGGGGCCGCTGACACGCCCCAGCTGCAGGGTGCCAGGACGGGGTCCGAGGCCGGTGACGTGGGTCGGCCCCGCACACACCTGCTTCTCAGGGGCAGCCAGCCTGTGCCCACGGTGCTCGCTCAGTCCCACGGCCGGCTGGGGAGGCAGAAAGAGGGGTGTCAGTGAGAGGGAGGTGGGAAAAGACTGATGCTGGTATGCCAGCAGGTTGATCTGAGAGGCAATGCCACCGCAGGGGCCATCAGGGAGTCCCCCACACACCAGAGGGGACCTGCAGGGTGCCGTGATTTATTGTTATGAAACAATTTACCTGCATGGCAAAGTGCTGGTGCTGCTGAACCGGGTCTCCAGGATGGGGCTCTGGCACTCGCGGTGAGCCATACAGTTTTGTTGGATCTGATCCGCGCAGGGGACCGAACGTTCCTGGCACAGCTGGTCTCTGGGGGATGGGGAAGGGTGCAGGAAGGAGAAATAAACACATTTGTGAGATGCAAAAAAGCAGCAGAGCTGCTTCAAGCAGGGGGTAAGCCAAGACCAAAAGAACCACACAGAACAGACAGGCTTTTTGGAGATGCCATGAAAAACCTGTAGGCTTTTCAATGAAATGACACAGCTCTCCTGCCAAAGAGTATCATATATCCCTGAGCTCAGGTTGTGATACACTCACCTACCACCCAGCTATTCGGAAGCAAGTAAGACAACTGGAGGGGATGGTGGTTTGTTCCTGTCCTTGGAGCAAACCACAAGAGCACGTGAGCAGAACAAAGGGGACCATGCTGGATTGCTTTCAAAATACTTGCTGGCTCCAGCTCTCCTACTGGCTTCTGCTATCTGCGTCACAAGAATCACTCTAAAACGTTTTATTTCCAGCTAAAAAAGTGAGGAATAGCCTGGATCTCAGAAAAGCAACTGTCACACTACACCACAAGACACCATGGGTTTAAAAGGAAAAGACAGTAAAGGATGGGTGAGGAACAGCCCATAGAAGAGGCAGAACAGGTGGCCCTCGGAGAGGAAACATCAGGCTAAAGGGAGGTCACTGCTGCAGCCCAGGGTGGCCTTGTGTGTGGTTTTGTTTACTGCTTTTATAAATATCAAGGCACAGAATGCAGTAGTATGCAGATGGCACAAAGTTACCAGGCATCTGTAAACAATTGAGACAAAAGAAGGCTGGCTCGTTCAGCATCATAAACTCGAGGTTGAAAGAGGAAACGTGATTGCTTTACGTGCACAATGGGGTACCTCTCCAGGGAGAGAGAGAAAACTGGGGGAGCCAGGGCTGCCCAAGCACACATGGGTACTTGCCTGCAAAAAATGTTGTTAGACCTTTCCTAGTTAGTGTGGTAGCGATCTAGTTCAGCCTCCAGTTACAGAAGTAGCTACTCTTCTAGCTCCAGCTACTCTTAACAGAGCGTGTTATTTCCAGTCCTATCTCCTCAGCCAACTACACAAAGACCGGGTAAGGCCGAACTGTATCGGTTTAAATTTAAGGGCTGAAAAGTTTCAGTTTGAGAAACCACAGCTCCGACCCTCAATCTCTGGGAGGAGATCCTTGCCACAAAGTAGGGATTCCACAGGGGAGAGTTCAATTCCCTTTTCCCTCCCCGCCTCCCTCCGCAGGCAGGATCGATGAAGAACAGCAGAAACTACTCCTTACCATCTGGCCGGGATGTGGCACGGGGCTGGGCATGCCGCCGTACTGCAGCGAGCGGGGGAAACCTCGCCCATTGGAAGGGCCCACTTCTCGAGGAGGCTGCATGGGGTTGCCACTTGGATCCTCTGCAGAGGACGAGGAGAAGGAGGAGGAGGAGGAAGAGGAGGAGGAGGCGGGAGCCCTCGAAGCAGCTCGATATGGTGGAGGTTTCCCTCCATTTTCCAGGCGCTGCTGCCTCTTGCCTGGTCCCTCTGGGTCTCGTGACCGAGTCCAAACATTGCCAGCGCTGGAGCGGCCAGCCCGCCGGCTCCTCTTCTCCCGCCTCCCGTCTTCTCTGATCCAAAACTCCTCATCTGTGTCTCCATCTTCCCCAGGGAAGTGCTTCATCATTGCTCGGTGGAAACACCTCTCCAAGTTGTAAGCCATCTTGGTATATTCTGCCAAAAGAAACCCAGCAACATCAAGGACAGAGCCTTACAGAGAGAAACAGTTAAGCAACATCAGACTTTCCTCATTTCCCCAGAAAAAACATCTCTCCCCACAGTTTTTTTGTTTGTTTTTGTTTTATTTTTGAGGAAGACTTTTGTTTCTACCTAGTTGACCAGTCTATATTCTTAAACTCAATAAGCAATGCAGCATCAGATTTGTTCAGTAACCCCACCAGAGGACAGGCACACAGGCATGACAAAGTACCATTAGCAGCATGGCTTGCACAGTCAGCATTAACCTAACATCCCAGAATAGTACCAAGAATTACATTACGGCAAACACCACCTCTGCTTGCAGAGATGTGTGACCTGCACTGCTAGCCAGCAGTGCTGAGAAGAGAAACGTTAAATTCCAGCAATGCTACTTGATTCTGCTCAAGAGGCTTTTGCTGGACTGGTTCAAATCTCTGCTGTATGCTACAAGACAAAGGAAAAAAATCAGCAAAGATCATTTATCCATGTACAGTTTTTAAAGCACTTGCTGACCGTGACACAAAAGCTATTGCAAATACCACGGTCACTATTGTGCAATTCCCACAGGACAGTTCTGCTCTGAGGGGCTCCTACTTTTCACTGGAGTGGGTAAGAAGGAAAATACAGGTGAGAGGTGTCGATCACAAAGTCTTGAAGCAAATGACTTTCCAGTTGTTTCCACTGAACTAAAAAGTTCCTTGGACAGCAGAGTTCCCCCACTGGCAGTGCAGAAATGCTTTTACTTAGGGCCCACAGTGACAAGCTGAGAAGCTCTGTTTTCACTTTCAAAGCAGTGCTGTTGAGACATGGTCTGCAGCGATGACCCACCATATGGGGAGTGACTTCTTACCTAAGCAACGTGCAGAATTTTAATCGGCGTGGCAATTAAACCCAAGGTTTCCCATTTGTGGGCTTATGCTATTCATTCAATAGCCAAAGAACCTAAAAATATATATTTTCCATCCAAAAGGCTACAGATGTGGCTCACTTTTCACTTTTTTTTGGGGGGGATACTCAACAAACACTGGGGGCTGACCAGACTCGTTATGTTCTTCAAAATGTATTAGATATCATGAGACAAAGGAACACAGACACATGCAAGCACACAAAGGAATGAGCTCGTAAAGAAACAGACTTTCTTCTCTTTGTATGTTCTGTCTTCACCACCTATCAACATGGGAGCCCCTTAGTATGACAGGCCACATGTATCAGCATGACAACTGTGCTAAAAACCTGGCTAAATCCCCAGGCCTTACTACTCAGGAGCTTTCCTCCAGCCTCTCAAAAATATCCTGAAAGAGAGTAAGCACAAATCAAGTTCTGGTGAGTAGGTAGGGATCAGTGCCTGCTTTAACTCAGCACTGGAAATAGATGAACTTAGCATCTTACTGCTCTTACCACTGCCTTCACCATTGTACTTAAGACAGTTCCTGAACATGGTCTTCATATCGCCCACAAATTCTTCCTTGGTGCAGTACTGACCTCCATTCAACTTCTTCTCCATGCTAGAGATGTCCATGGGGGCCTGAAATTCAGCAAAACTTTCCTTGAGTTACAGCAAGAGCAATGGGACTTACAAAGGTACATAAATTACTAGCTTCCTCACAGAGGGCATGCAGAGCAGAGGCTGCTCTCCTGAGGGCAGCCTCTCCTCTTGCATTTCCTACACCCAAAGGGATTACTGCAGCTTGACTGTGAGGATAACACAGCTCACAGAACTTCAAAACACTTACAAGTAATTGCACCCCAGTCAACAAAGAGCATCAGTCAAGCACGCTGCGCTGCTTTCCCTACCTTAATGATCTGGTAGTAGTTAGGAGCATACGACTCATCAACAGGTTCCAAGAAGGGCCAAGAGTCCTTGTGAGCCTTTACCACATCTAGAACTGGTAGCAACAAAAGACAGACGATTACACACATGCCTGGGGGACTGTGTCGCTTTGAAGAAGTCATGCAAAGAGGAAAATCGGGACAGGTGGACTAACCTTTGTACATGGCTGTGAACTCATCATCCAGTTCAAAGCTGTAATTGGAAGAACAACAGTGAATAACAGAGACTTAGCACATATACGGCATTCCCTCTTACCTCATCCTCCCTTCCGTGCCACATGCAGTGCCATGAAGTTAAACAGGCCTCATCACAAACACTTGTCTCGCATGGACCAAATCCAGGTGTTTCTCAGCTTACTCCTTGCTGCTCTCCAACCTCACTTATCCCTCCTCATTCCTGTGAATGACCACACTCCTCTCCTCCCCTCCCTACTAAGGCTTCACTGCACGGGTGTGCTGCATGCCCAGCTGCATACTCACAGATCCTTGGTCCTTCGCTCTTCCCTGGTAGGGGAACTGGGATCCAAGTGGGAAAGCTCGGGGGGCAGCTCCTTCCCCTGTGCCAGCAGCCAGGCCCGCTCTTCACGAAGCTTCCTCCTCCTGGCTCGCTCTGCAGCGGGAAGGGGAGACAAGCAGAAAAAGCCATTCAGTGCTCCTTGTCAACAACATCTTGCAGAGAAAACTCAGGCAGCTCCTGCAGCTCTCAAGAACTCTCTGCAAAGAAGCAGAGGAGCTGAGAACACCGTACACCACAAACACACCTCTTCATTTTCCCTTGACTAGTCCATCAGTGATTTCGGAGCATTACTGCAATGCAGATGCTCCACATGCCACCTTTCAGACAAATTCCTGACCACAGTGTGGTACAAAGAGAGTTCAAAGCACAGACCAAGGCATAGATCAGTTAAACAGAAAGAGATGACTTATTAAATTACCATCCTTTATCTGCTTGCCACCAGTCCCCACGCTGTCAAAAAAGCACAATAACTCCTCAGCCAGGTGAACTCACAGCAGCTGGTTTTGCACTGAGGCTGATGAAGAACAGTGCTGAAAGAAGGGTGAAATTCTACCAGCTGGGTGGCAACAAGTAGCTGGGTCAATAATATCCTCCATCCCCACAGCCAGCTTTGGGAAGATTGTTCAGGTAGGCCTTCACGGCCAGCAGCCAGAGAGAGCAAGCTACCACACAGGAGGGCCACTGGGACAGCTTTGGTTTAAGAGGTGAGAGACAGGAAGAAGCAACGTTAGTAATATAACCTGTGGTTTGCAACCAGACAGCTGGCTAACAGATTGCTTCATAGTAGAAAGTTTATGGACTCTTATGAACCTCATTTCCTTTTTGTTATAGGACACCTGAATTCATTTGACTTGCTAAACACCTGTACCAACTTTCTGTTGATGCAGAATTCTGTGAAAACGCAGCTCAAGGAGAGATGTCATAGCTGCAACACCCCAGGAAATTGGCCACAGGGCCACACCAGGGAAACACCCAAGTGAAAGAAAGATTGGAGACCTGGCCAAAATCCTCTAACAGAGGCTCCATCTCTGGACAGTGACGCAGACTTGAGAAGCACATGCTGGTAAAACAGTATTAATATGCCAGTCAAAAGAAAGCCTGTGATGAGGAGTAGGAGCACAAGAGAACTAGGAATGAGTGTCTCCAGGATGACTCTATCTGTATGCATTTAGTCTTTATTCTTACAAGAGAATCACCACTCAAACAGACATTCTGCTGCTAAATAAAACCTTCCATGCTTCTCCTGCAGCTACTGAGGAAAATGTAGGCACTCCTTCCCTGAAGAGGAATTGACAGCCACACCTCGTGCCCAGTCAAAAAAAAAAAAGTGATGGATTTCTCTTCTGGGAAGGAACCTGAGATGTCACAGTCACCAATGGTACCACTGCAAGTCATGGTTTTACTCCATGAACAGTACCCATATCTGAAAGCATGCTCTAACAGGATAACGGATATTGTTTAGGAATAGCTACAAGGTGTATGTTTTCCAGAGAGGTCCATGGCTAGATATATCAAAGATTGGTTAAAAAAAAAAAAAACTCCAAATTTTCCGTTAGAAGACTCCAGGCAGCACTGAAGTTGGGAGGACAGGACTTTCATTTAAGATGTCCTACAGAATCTATCAGCATCTGTTACACCATTTAGTAAGGTGAGGTCTAACATCAAACTACAGCTAGCAGAGATTATCAGTCAGTCCAAGCACAGTTCAGTATTGCACGCTTCTTTAGTAAAATTAACCTCGCTTAGATGACATTGTTATGGATGCCTAAGTGAAAAAGCTGAGAAACACATGTAGTAATGACTTGGGCAGCAAAAGGAAAGTCTCATGCCAACAGCAACCAAGAGGTAAGGTCACGTAGATATTAGAAATCCATCAATGCCTGCCAAGCTTCTGACATGGTAAACTGACAGGGATTGCGGAGCGCTACCGTGTTACCAGGCTGTAGCTCAGTCAGTACTGTGACAGGTCCCAGTACCACAGGGAGGAATTAACATAGCTTTGTTAAAGGTAGAGTTTGCTGCCATGCTGTTGGCCTGGACTGAGAGGCCACCAAATATTAAAAGCTGACCAATGCCCTAAAAAGCACCTCAAACAGATAGAAAGTCATGTGTGTGAGAGGTAATGTTACAACGGCATCTGAAGAGAACTGGAAGATTCTAACCTGCTGTTCTGGAAGAAATCTAGAAAGCTGCTTTAACTCCTAAATTCAGGAAAATCCAGATGGGCCCAGCAGGAGGGTCCCTAACTGGGGTGCGCGTTGGAGTGGAGGGAAGTGAAATCCCACACTGGAAAGAGGAATGCGATCTAGAGACAGGTACACAGTCCAAACCCAAGATGCAGGTGAAGTGCTGATGAAGCCACAAAGAACACAGATATTCCACCCTGTGTTTCATATCATCCCTCCTAACAATTTACAGAATTGTTAAATCCTAAGCAGAAGGCAAAATACAGGAAGGTCTTTGTTACCCTAAAAATATCTTTCAGCGGATGTCCAGCTTTAACAAGTCTGAACCAAACAAAACAAATGACTTCATTTTCAAATCACTTTCTGTCCATCATAAGAACTATCACAGTAAGTGTTAACAGAGGGTGTCGGAGGGTGAGCTTGACAGTCATAGAACCAGTAAGCAATAAGGAAAGATGGTTACGAAGCCAAAGTCTTACCCAGATAGCTGCTGTTTCTATGGATGAAAAATATAGAACTGATTTAACAGAACAGATCATCCATTTAAACAACCTTTCCAAACAGCTTTTGCACCAGTTTAAAAGCAGACTTCTCTTGACTTACCCTAAACTGACTGGGAACAAGTTTGAAGTAAATTGAAAGAAACTGCTCAAACCAAAATAAAAGCATGCCTGCCAAGAAAAGCACTAATGTATGCGAAATGGCTTAAAACAGCTTACTGCCCAACCCCATGCCAGTTTTTTGAGTGGCTCTGGTGAGTTTGTATCAGATGACATAGTTATTGTATTTACCCCCAAATTCACAAGGGTTTTATCAAAACAATACCTGACCAACTCTGAATACTAGATTTAAATTTGCAACTCCTCTGGATCTTGAAGATTAATTTTGTCTATACAGATGGAGAGTCAAAGCACAGGGAATATGCAATTTGCCAAGGTGAAACAGATACCTGTAGCAGATCTGGAAGCTGGATGATTCTGAGTTTAAAGTACCAGATTAGCCAAGACCAGCAACCAGAAATATCCAAAGGCCAAGCAAGTAATTGGATTTTCGAAAGGTTAGAAAGTAAGCAGGTAAAAGGAACTATTCTTAGATAACATCTGGTCTGCTACCAGACATCTGGTAGCAGACTTGTTTCATCTTGGAAAGTTTACAGGGTTTGCATGAACCCTTCCCCCCCCCCCCCCCTCCTTTTCTGGTTCTTTCTCCACCTAAGGATTCACAATAGTGATACTGCCATGCATTGTGAGAACATATTTTCTGACAATATTCAGTGTTTCCCTGGAGCTGCAACAGCCCAGCCAGCCACTGGCAAAAGCAGCAAATAAAGAAATCCCTGTAAAGGAGGCTAAGAGAGGTGGTGCTTAGATATGAGCCTGCTCTTAGACACCAGTACCTACATGTACTGGCTGAATGTCTCCAGTCTGTGTCTCAGACTGATGTATGAAATGCAAGACCACTGTTTCTTGCAGAACAGCCTATATTTATGTTACTTAAAAACATGAGAAAACAAGACCAAAACATGAATTTGCCACCTACCAGTGCTCTGTTTAGCCTGGTTCCTTCACCTTTAGTACTCCAGCTGATGAGGTCAGGAGCAATATAAAAATAATACCCTCACTATTCCCATGTTGTCCCCTTCCTTTTCTCCCTGAAAGGAATCCTCCTCTCATCATGCAGAAGGCCAAAAGGACCAAATACTATTCAGTAAGAGTTAAGCCAGCTAAGCCTGCATGGAGGGAGATCTATGAGAAGCCCGGTGGGGACACAAAAGAAGGAAACTGAGGAACAATATGGATAGCAGGAGAAAAATACAGCTATGACAAGGAAAAAATGAGTATGACTTGAAGAAGACAGAACTGAAGAGAACACTAGAGAACAGCCATCAACACAAGAGGGGTGGACAAGGCAAAAAGAAAGTACTATCAGGCCAATTTATCTAAGCCAAGTCCAAGAAGAGTTATTCCCATCAGCTTGCCTGGCAGGGGAGGGATGCAAATAGATCTTAGTTCAAGATCTCAGACTCAGCTTTGAAATCTCCCACCTCTGCTTCGCACTGGCTGCACGTACCTTCCACTGCTTTGACCTTCTCCTCCATCTCTCTTTTTCTCTCCTCCTTTAGCAGTTGCTCCTGCTCCCTCTTCTGCACTGCTATAAGGATCTGGCGCTCCTCCTCTTCCTCCCTGCGCCTCTGCTTCTCCATCGAACTGAGCACATTCGGGTTTACCTGTGACAAAACAGTGCACAGAAAAATGTAATGCAGCACTGGCTTATTCAAGTCTGAGCAGAGGCAGGTTTACTTGTGCAAGTATTAAGGCATACCTACAGTGAATGGCTGGAACAACAAAAAGAGATGTACATATGAATTCTCAGATAAAAAGCAACATGGAAAGGTAATTGTCAAGCAATGAAACCCTACTGATTGAAAGGCAAAGGAAGGAAAAGTGATTGGTTTGGCAAACTGCTGCTCCACCAGGGATGTGCCCCATGGACTTCCCTTCTAGGCAAAGGGATCTGGCTGTTGTCACCCCTGTGCAACACCTACACCCCTTCCAGCTAGTCCCGAGTTACAAGTGTGAGCAGAAAGAACTACTCTGCTGCACCTGGCTCTGCCATAAAACACCCAGTACTTCGGAGAGAAAAGGAGACCAGTACAGTCTTACATCAAGGTATCATTTGGAGTGTTTTTCTTTCCCATTCAGACTAAGGCCCACCATACTTCTATGAGCTAATCTCCATGAACCAGCCCTCAGTCATTTGTTTGTTTCCTGCTGGGTTCCCTGGCCAGCTTTCTCATTCAAGTACGCCTGGCTCTTTATGGCCCCACTTCCTCACCTCCCCACGCCCAGCAGGCTGTAAGGCTGTGTTTGATCCCACTTAGACTGCACACTTCTCAGACCAGGAATTGCCTGCTCCTGTTTCTCCAATAAAGTGCGAGGTATGTATGTGGCAGTGTGGAATTACCTTTATTGGCTTAATTTAATTATAAGTCAAATGAATCAGCCATCTACTCCCACCTCTTTGACTTCTGCAAGATCAAGGTATGTGTGCCTTATTAGCAGGGAATACTGACCAGAAAAGAACAACGCACATACGGTTTTGTCCACCTTCATTTCAGGGACTAACCAGCAACCACCACTTAAGCAGAAGGTATTTCCTGAGGATTAGCAATCAGCTGGGGTCCCCTGGCTGCTGCTCAGACCATCAACTTCCCTCGGCCTACTATTAATCCCCAGAAAAAATCTGGCACTATGATTACTATTTTGTCCTTGTTTTGTTGCCTAGAAGGGGAACCTCGGGGTGTTTTGATAAATGCCTAGAAATGTTGTCTGGTTTTACTGTACATTCATTCCCTCTCTGCCTTTCCTTCCCCTTCCCCTACACAATGCTGCCCTACAATCTCCCCCTGCAGCTCTCCGTGGACAAGCACCACGTTATTGTCCTGTCCTCAGCAGCAAAAATACATTAAGAGAATTACACTTCAACCACCAGCAGCTACAGAAAAGTGTCCAAGGGAGCGCTACAGGATTTTTCACGACATCAGGTCCATATCCTGCCTTTAGAGACAGACTGGACAGCAGAAGCACCTATTCTGTGCTATCTTTTTAGGTGAAAGCCATAGCATGATCTCACCACAAGGGAACTCAGCCTATGTTCTTTTCCTTCTTAGTTCTTTGCCAACTATTAGCACCTAATGCTTCCACTGCTTTCCAAAGGAAACCATTCTGCAAGTCCACACTCCTTTAGGTTAGCCAGCATCTCCTCGCATTCAGCCTGAAGTTAATTTTTCATCCCCTCATTCCATCCAATTATCCCTAGTTACTCTTTTCTAGTCCAGCATAAATTCCCCTCTCCTTCAGTCACATTCCAGTGTTTATGAGCTTCCTCAGACACTTGCACAAATCTTCTGTTTCTGTAATTAGGTTAAATATTTCCTTATAGAGCAACCCTTCCAGCTCCTTAATCATTCCAGTTGTCTTTCTCAGATATTTCCTCCAACTGATCAATATCTAAGCACCAGCATGCCCAGGACTGACGCTGGTATGTCAAGTAGAAGATAAGAACTTGCAGAATTGGGTTCTACATTTTCACTTTTTATTCTTTTTCAAATCCCTTTCCTATCTTATTTTCTACTCACGCACTACAAACAACTTCTTTTCAGGCCCGATCCTGACAGTCTTTAAACAGCTTTCCTCCCAACCTCCTTGCCTGACCTATAAATTGCAATAGAAACCAAAGAAAACCATCATTAGGAAGAGAAAGAGGTGAGCAGGAACGAGCCCTCAGAAGTCAGCAGCACACCAGAGATTTAATTGAGGATGTGACCATCAGCCTTTGGACTCTCCAGCCAGTAGATCTAAGCCAGCCTGTCATGCCACACTAATTTGAGCAAATGTTGGGGCACAGGTAAGCCCTCCCCTTCCCTTAGATTCATGCAGCATCCACCATTCATGACCTACATAAACACAACACCCAAGTCGCAGTGGTCACACCAGGACCTCTCCAAGCCTACTGGGTGCACCGAGCACCCCATATATATGGTAATGGCACAAGACAGAATCCATAGCACGTTCTGGATCAACCCTTCACAAATATCATGCTGACAAGGCAATGCGACAAACTTAGCAAAGGAGAGAACGGCAACCTGGCAAATCTAGGAACAGAAGGAAAAGAGAAAAGCAGGAACCACAGACTGCAGCAGATGCCCCTAACAACTGCATTTGCTCACTGTGGTGCTTGCAGGGCAGTGGCAATGCTGGGTGGATTCCTCATGACACTTCAGACACAGAAACAGCCTGAATTTCAGAGGGACCTACTGCCTGCTGCTGCTGTCCCAGTTAAAACCCATTGGAGCTGAGGGTGTTCATCTCAGGGTTAAAAAATAAGCAAGCAAACACAAACAAAAGATAGATAGCAAGTTTCAAACTCCTACTAGACGTGATGGAAGCAGACACCCATTGGCATGACAAAAGCAAGAAACCAACACAAGTTAAACTTCCTTCTTAAACGAAGCAGCAGCAAAGAGAACATTTCTCCAGCTTCATTCCCACTTGCATGAAAAAAGCCAACAACAAGCAAACCAACTCTCGCTTCTGTGACCACCACCTCCTTCCCTCCGCCAGAGAGCACTCCAGGACACAACATTGCTGCCTCCCCCCGGACCCCAAAAGGGCCAAATTTCTGCCTTTTACTTTGCTCTCAGACAGCGGGTATCAGACTTCAGGAGCAGGAGGCGCGGGCGCCCTGGCCCCTCGCCCTCCAAACCTTCCCTGCTCCGGTTTCCGCAGCACTGCCCTAATGAGGGTGCTGCTCAGGCGGCTCTTTAATGAGGAGCTAATCTGAACCACCTGTTGAGAAATCCCCCGCAGGATTAGGAGCCTACGGAGCAGTTGCATCTCGGACCGAGGCAGCATCCATCTAGCGGAGCTGGGAGGCAGGGGTCACCCCTGCACAGGAGGCAGTTTTCTCCCCGAGGCTTGCCTGCTGCCCACCCCTCGCTCAGCCAACAAGCCATCAGATGCCTGGCACCGTCGCTGGCTCCCCTGCGTGCTGCATCCCGCTGGGCAAGCAGCACACCCGCCCAGAGATTCCCCATCCTCGTGCTGGCTGAGTCCCCGCTCCCCACTGCGGCAGGAGCCAGGAGGGCCCCCCGCTCACTGGAAAACGTTTCACTGGCCCACAGGCAGCAATTAACAGCCCTCTGCCGCCGCAGACCTGGAGCACCTGCGGTACTGATTAGCATCGTTCAGGCTCCATGTGTTTCCCACTCCCCTCCTCCTCTGGGATTTCTGCTGCCTGCGAACAAACACGTGGCCCTGCGCTTCCTGGACGGTGGGCTCTGCAGAGGGCAGCGCTGGCCCCCAACTGACCATCGCCAGGGTCTCATTTTCCTCTCCGCAGGCTTTTATCTGCAGCACGATGAGAGGCTCTTCCTTCCTCCATGTATTTTAAGCCATCGTGTTTATTGCAGGGAACGGTACTTTCTCCTTTGTTTTGCAGGAACCCCTAGCTCACGTGGGATATTCCCTGCAGCTCCATTTCCCAGGGTTTGACAGCATTCTGGGACAAAACAACAGGTAACTATGCTTTCATTACGTCTGCAGTGAGGGATCATGCCACGGCCTGATAGAATCAAGCCACTTTTTTCCTCTAGAGCTAATCCTGTGTTGCCTGACCACTTTCTTTGGGTAGCAGTTGCCAGTTGAAAGAACCCCCATCTCCACCGCACCATGCCCCTGGCTGTGCCAACGAGACTGTTGGGGGCTGTGTGGTGAACTGGATCGGAAAGCTGATCTATGTTAAAAATAACCAACCAAAGAAAAGGGTTATATTTAACTCCAGCCATTTTTCTGGGTCTGGTTCACTGCACAGACCCGCAAGCAGCAGCGCTTTTACACCGACAGGGTAGAGAGAAGATGAGGGTGAGGAGGCACGGAGGGGCCATTTTAGCAGACAATATTGTAGTTTGATGAGCATTTCTTTAAGAAAATGCCTAAATTGTGACTTCCATTTCCATCTGACCCCCTCCTAGCCCAGCTCTGTACTCCATCAAGTCATTCTTCTCTCTCCCCGCACTATCTACACGCTCATGTGTTTGCAGCCTCACGTTTTCCCCTTGGCTGAATTTCTGTCATTTCCCTTTGTAAGCCAGTTCTTCTAGCCCTCTCATCCTTCTTCAACTTTTTCTTTGAACTGCCTCGAATGTGCCAGCACTTTCATTGAAGTGGAATTCCCCAGGCTGAGTACAGATTTCCATATGCAGCTGCACCAGCGTCTGCGGCAAGGCCGCTTACCTCTGCGATCCAGAGGGCAGCACCTCCCTGCTCGCCATAGAAACCCCGAGTGTCAGCCTGCGTTTGACGGGCATTACCACCCATCTCCCTTTCAGCACGAGCACTTTCAAACGACTCCTTCCCACTGAATAGCGATGCTGCGGTTTATTTTTTCCCCCAGGAGGCATCTGCTCTCGCCTCCCTCTGTCGTCCTCCCCCTCGCACCCCCCCTCACCTCCTGCTTGATTGGTTTGATGGGCTGATGGTCAGACATCCACCTGGGAGAAAACTCTGGCCGCTGCAGACGCTTCTCCTGAAACAGGGTTGAGAATTGAGGGAAGGAAAAAGAGAGTGGAGGAAATTAGGGCACATCGGTGATACTGGCAGGAGAAACTCTGGGGGCTAGAAGTGACCATGAAATCCCTATTAGCTTTACACGGGCAGCAAACAAACAAACTGAACTCAGTCCAAGAATATCACGCTGACTGCAGAGCCCATTTTGCAAAGCCATCCAGACGAAGGATCCTGTTCCTGCTGTCCCACCTGAAAACGTTCCTTTGATGGGCAGCACCCTTTGGAGTCTAAGGGCTCTGCCATACCATCTCAAGCAGACTTAGCTAGGACAGCTAAAGCAGCAGCAACTGCCCCTTCAGCAGAGCCAGCTGAGAAACTGCAGTAAAAGTAAAATCAGAGGCAGCTTGCAGAGAAAAGCCAGGCAGTAAATCGCAGAAGTTCAGAAGCAGACAGAGTTTCCCTGCTAGCAGAAAAGGGACGCACAACATGGCTGAAGACAGGAACCCCTTCAGCCATCCTACCCATGCTACCATGCAATCACCGACCAGATCTCTAGCCTTACCACTCCATGGGGAGAATCTTTCTCCCCATGCGTGAGCTAGACACAGACAGCCCCTGCATCCAGGACATGTGCAGGCCGGAGAGGGGAGCAGGACGGGGTGACAGCTGCTGGGATTTTGCTCTCCTTCAATCAGCAAACGTCCATGCTCTTGGAAGCAGTCGAACAGAGGTAAACAGGATGTCATGTCTCCTCACCTTCTGTGCAATCATGTTGCAGATCTCCGGCAGGAAGTCTTCACTCAAGAGTTTGTAGAGCTGCCGCTCTCTAAGGGAAGTCCTCTCTCTGAAGCTCTCTGTGACCTGCCTCCACTCCTCTTCCGTCTGACACAGCAGCCACCATGTCCCACGGCCTGGCCCTTGGGACCCTTCAACAACATGAAAGGATGTTATCTCCACAGCAGTTATGACTAAACTTTTCTTTATCCCTTCTCTTCTCCTGCCCTCAGGGCTTGGGAAGACGAAAAGATACTGCCCACGGTCACTGTTATGGGAAACATGCTCTAGGAGGGGAAGTCAGTGTGCCTAAAAACTACTCTCAAGCTACTACAAGTGTGGTTACTTCCCCTAGCGACACTGACAGTGATGCCAAGACAGAGGAATTGCAGAGGTGAAGAAGTAAAGGTGGTGTGACATCCCTGCAGTAACCCTCCACTCCAGTTATGATGTACCAGAGGAAAGGATTTAATTTGTTTCTTGTAATGGAGGCTGTCAGCCAGAGCAGGACATAGGGCAATGCAAATGCCTGATTTAGTCTGGCAGCAGAATAAAAACAATGAAAATTAATGTTATTTGAAAAAAGCCATTTTTTTTAGTACTGCAAACCTTTGCTGCGGTGAATAAAACCTTCCATTCTACCCAAATGAAACATTTTGTTTGCAGGCACTTGAAAGAACTGAAGAGGAAGTGAAGGATGGGGTTCATCGGGCTGCCAGATGCTGGGGAAGTTGCAAAAGTTCACATCCCATCCCCTGCTTGATCCAGAGCTGGATCTGAAGCAGATCTCCCACCACTCTGAAGCATGTCCTAACTACCAAGACATTCAGGGCTGTTCCGCTTTGCGTGAAACATTTGAATACTAATGGTGAAGGAAAGACTCTCTCGCATGGTGGTTGGAACACCCACCTGGAAAGCGGGAATGCGGTTCCTGCTGCACAAATGTTTACACAGAGCGGAGAAGCCTCATCAGTTGCAACTTGCATGCTTTTGCCCCAGGATGCTCTCTAAGCAGAGAGCTCGTGGCTCGCTTTTGGAGAGGGGAAGATGTTGGCTCACACCCTTTTGGGTTGAGAGGTTCTCAGCTGCCTCAAGAAAAATCAGGCCAACCACTGTCTACTGGAAAAAAAAAATGGCCACATCCCTACCACCTGCAAATAACATGCAGCTTCTCACCGCATTTTCAAGCAAATTAACAATGAAAAATAAAAACAAGCAAAAAAAACAAAAAACAGAGCCCCTCTCTCTCTGAACATGACCCCAGGCCCTCTGTGGATTTGAGCTGCCAGTGGCTCCTGCACACAAGCTATCAGATTGCCCCAGGAAGGACAGAGAGCTGCAGCCTCCCTCCGGCCACCTGCCCTTGGTCGGGAACCTCAGTGCCATGGTAGCAGCAGCTCACAGGCCAGCAGACAGCTTAACCTGCCATCAGTTGCAGCTCGTGTTAACATACCAGGGACCGGAGAGGGCAAAGCAGCAACCGTGTGCTGTAGCTTCTGTCGCCCTGGCTCTGTGATGCTCTCTCCTTTGGCCGAAGGAGGCAGCGGATGGCTAGGGGCTGTGACACCTCAAGCTACTGCAGCAGGGAGCTCACCTGCACGCTGCCCTGAAGCCTGCCCCCTCTTTTTCCCTTCCCCTGCCAGCTGCCTGTGGCTGACTGGCTTCAAAAGCAGCCAGGACTAATGCACTGCTTTGTGCCACCAGAAGATTACTCCCCAGCTGAAGCGGCACAATTTGCTAGAAAACAATGATCTGATAAAACCCAGCGTCTCACGCGCGGAGCTGCAGCTCTGCCTCCCAACTCCAGAGCAGCAGCCAGGAAATCTGAGCACAAAGGCAGAAGGGAACGAGGCACAGGAAAGACAATGCCACAGTTGCCTTTTATTGTGGAGGAACGGGCAGGCTGAGCCCGTGAGTTATGTGGAAGCCAAGGGATTCACATGTATGACAAATGAGCCCTGGCCCCCTCGGACTCCGTTGCACATTATGTTGCCAACTCTCTTTCCCTGCTTGCCTCATTAACCCTTAGGTGGGTATCCCCAAGTCGTCATTGACACAGCACCAAGCACAGCCACCAGCTGGAGGGAGAGGTGAGGAGAATCAGAAAGGTCCTTCCCTATCTTGGCATCACTGACCCAGCTCTCTTCCCAGCCCATGCATGAGGCATGAAAGAAAAAGTGTGCCTGCTACAAACAGGGGCTTGTGTTCAACTCCCCCTCAGAGAAGTGAGGGCCATTCACAACCCATTTCTATCAACTTTAGGGAGTAGGTGGGCCCCTAAGGCCTCGTGTAACCCAATATGTTGCGTTTGTTCATCCCAAACTAATCCAGGATAAGATAGGAAGCAGGCAGGTGCCCAGGCTCCCAGCTGCAGGGCAGCCTGTAACACTAACCCCTCCTTCCAGACTCAGCTGGACCACTGACAGACGGACTCTCCCTTTCCTGAGAGGCAACTCCCCAAGCTTTGATAATTTAGGAGTTGTGTTAGCTGATCACATCAACCCTGACCCCACAAAATCTCTTTACCATTTCTTATCTGAGTCTCACGGATTAGCATGTTCTCTTCTGCCTTCTCCCTACCAAAAAAGAAAGAGAAGTGACACAATAAATACATTACTTCACCAAAAACAAGACACTTCTGAGAAGAACGGGGATACAGCAATCACTGCACACAAAAAACACGCAAAACACCCCATTCCTTCTATAATGTGTGTGTATGTGCATGTATATACACACACATACTTGTCATATACACAAACACACATACTTGTCATAGCTTCACAAAACGTTAAGGAGTGAAGAATGCAGGCTAGAATTTGGCAGAGGCAGTATTTCAATTCTCACGGGAAGTATCCCAAAATCTATACTGACTCAAGTGGCCAAGATTTTGGCTTCAAGCGCTGCAGAGTGAAAGCACTCTTTTATCAGGAGCATATCCCCTAGCACTGCACAGAGGAGCTGCATCAGAAGCGAGGCCGTTGGAAGAGTGATACCCAGTGTTTCACCGAGCTTGGCATCCCTCTCAGTCAGAATTTTCTTTGGAGAGTGATCAAAGCACCCACCAAGCCCGAGCCTGCTTCACTTCACAGATGCATTGAAATTATGGCTGCATGATATATACATACTTACTGGGGGAACCCCAGAAGCACATTATATTATTAATTGTGAGAAATATCAGAGAGACTTCCCTCTGGGAACACACGCATCCGATGTCTCTTGCGGAACAACCTTTCCATACCTCAGCAAATTTTCCTCCAGTAGTTTTTTCCGCTTTGGGGGTCGCCCTCGTCTCTTGCCTGTTTTCCCAGGAACGTTTGGGGTGTTCGCCTGCCCCCCACACCCCCTGCGAAACAGCAAAACCACCATGAAATATCTGCTGAGCAGGGGAACCACGGCTGGCAGGGAGGGAGAAGGGCAGGGAAATGGGAACAGCTGCTAGGAACCAAACCGAAGGGAGGGATTACATCAGAAAGGGGAGGGAGGGAGGGGAGAAGACGAGGGCTTCCCCCTTGCTGGGAGCCTGCTCTGGGAGCCGCCGGCGCGGTGCGGGGCAGACAGGGAGGAATGCGGTGGGGCAGGCAGCATCGCTCGGCAGCAGGCTCTCCTGGTGCCACAAAGGCTGCAGGCTGGCTCCGGCACAATGCGCCGCGCAGGGCAGCTCGCAGTCTGCTTGGCAACTTCGCTCTCGCCCCGCACGGCCGAGGCCCCCTGTTCCCAGCCGCCCCCCCCCCGGGACAACAGCAGTCAAGCGGAGTCCCCTCCGCCCCCCTCCTGCCATGCCCCTGGCTTGGGCACGGGGGCATTTGAGGGGCTGTTACCTGTCTGGAGCCAGCTCTCCGTTGGTTTTCGCCTGCACGGGGTCCTCCTTGTACATCCGCGTGCCGTAGAAGTACCAGTACAGGGCACCGCTGCTGTCCTCGCCCAGCGGCTCCACGCGGAGGCTGTCGGCGTCCAAGCCCTGTGCCCACGGGGAGCCCCCCGCCAGACGGTGACAAGTTGAAAAGCGGCCACATTGTCACACAAAACACGATGACACCCCCTCCGCAAACACCTCCCTCCCCTCCCACCATGCCACAACAGCAGTACAGCTGCTCCTCCGGGCCGATCTGGGAAAATGTTACTCCAGGGGGAAGGCGACGTTCGCTCCCCGTCCAAGGAGGGATTGAGATTGGCATCTCTAATTTGAATGGCCTCCCTCGTTTTAACATTTCATCTCTGGTGCTCCTGACAGCGAAGGTCTAATTAGAGCTGGCGACAGTCACGCACAGCCCTGAGAAGCTCCCTCCCCCTCCCCACCACCCTTCCCCCAGCCCCCAGTGCTCTTCAGCCCCATCCTTTCATCTCACACCATCCCTCAGCAGCACAGCCCCAGCTCGCCCAGCCCTGCCATCGCAGTTGGAGCATCTCCAAAATTCAGTCTTCTCAGGAAGGGTAGCCAACAAAGCCAATTTACTTTTGTGTTACAAACACATCCCTGTAGAACAAGAGCCCTGGGAGCAGTCCTGCCTGTTTGCCTTAGTTCACCTGCAAGGTAAGGGTTGGGGATCGAGATGGGGAACCGCTGCCCTACAGCACCACCAAGTACCTGGCCTAAAAATTCACCTACCAGCAGCATCCTCTCCCTTCTCAAAGAGATTCCCTGATCTGGCCCACCTCCTACAGCCCCACCTTTTCTTCCTTCCCTGCTCCAGCTGCCCAACACACCTTGAGGAGGTCGAAGACATCATCTGCATCGAGCCGGTAGTCGCAGAGGCGGTGCAGGATCTCGACGCGGGTGCGCAGGGGCAGCTCCTGGAAGGTGGACTCCCGCAGCGGGTTGGGTTTCCCTTCCTCCAGCTCCCAGCGGTAGTTGATGATGTCCTCCAGGTAGCTGTGAAACGTCTGGGATCTGACCAAGGAAATAAATGCACACTTGCTGAAGTTTGCCTGGAGCAACTCGAACACAGGCAACACAGAGACAGGCAGCCCTTGAAGGAGAAGCATGCCCTGCCATGGTTACAGCTAACTGCAGCTCTGTAACTCAGGTTATCAGGACAGAGATCTAGTTGCAACACCACGGCATTTCACATTATACACAGCTTAGCTTGCAGGACTCGATGACTTATTTCTTTCCAAGCTGAAGGAACAAGCTAAACATGATCCCACTCCATCCCCTTTCCATCCCTGCGGGCACTGCCTTGTGCTAGCACCAACACTGACCCTTTGCTAAACCAGGACACAACGAAGCACATGAGTCTGATCCCCTTCTGCCTCTCTCCATCTCATGCAGATACCCTCATCTTCACCTTTCCATTTGCTCCTCACATCTACCATTGCTAAGCCTTGCTCCTCTCTCCCCCTCTTCAATGCTTTTCTACGCACTGGTTCAGTGGTTTGAAACTTCGTGTAGCTGATCTTCTCTGCCACCACCACTTCCTCCTCCCTGCTCCATCACCATATGCTTCCCACACTCCTGTGGTGGCTCCTGTTCCCTTCTCCCTCGGTCCCAAAGGTGCTGACACTTTCTGCCCATTCCTCCACCAGTGGCTCTGGCAAGACAACTGCACAGTTAGTGCACTTGGCTTGGGCCCTGCTATACAATGAGGCTTGCTTCCAACACGAGTTCAGCCCTGAGGAAGACCTCTCTCAAGTCTCCCAGGTTATCAAATTGAACATTTGAGCTCTTCAGCACTACCACTAAAATGGTCTCTCTCATTTGCCAGCTGGGCCACATTAAATCCTCTTTTCTTTGCCAGCAGTTCACCACATAACCCAAAGAAACACATATTTCTTACTCTCATCTGACGTTGAGGATAAATGCTCCTATCTGACATATATCAAATTGCTGGTGGAGCTTAAGGCTAAAAGAGCTCCTGCCTATATTTTATGGAGAGCTTATTCTGACTGCTGAAAGTTTCAGGGGAGGGTATGAAAAAGGCCTGGGGATATGCATCCCTAAACATAAAATGTGTCCCTAAACATAAAATTTTATACCAAGATCTGTCCGTATGACTTTGACACCTGAGACTTTCCAGTCTCTTTTCGCCTGCTAGCACTGTGCCCTGAGCACAGAGGAGGGGACCCCCCCACACCCCAGCCATTCCTGCACACACGGGAAGTCCATATGCCGGCAAGAACACCACTGGGTACACATTCCCACCAGCTCTCAAAAAGGCAGCTCAACTTGATAGGTTTTTGGCACAAACTGATTACTCTATATGATTAATGGAACCGTGCCAGCACTACAGAATTGCATTTGCCTGAGAAATTGCTAACTACTACAAAAGCTATTATTTTTAAACAAAGAGAGAGCGGAGCACGATCCAACTGGAAGAAGATCGTCAAAGTCAATATGAAGTTAGCTATTAGACGGGGGGTTCATACGTTCGGTAAAGAGTGGACTTCCTTTACAAGGACCACGACTGGACAGCGAGACTGCAAGAATGAGGGAACAGATGCCACATGATTCCTCGAGCCACGTCCACCTGGCAGCGCTTCCCTTCCTCCTCAGATGGAGAGGAGTCGATGTTACCACCCCGCAGATTGCTCCCCACCAACCTGCTTCTTTCTGACGTCAAATGGAAGCTCACCTCCCAGAGCTAACTCCTCTCACCGGATGAGTTGTATCACCCCCTGGTTGTATTTAACAACAGATGCTCAAATGTACCTGGATCTAGGGCCTTTTGCAGCCTGGAGTTTGTTCTTTTCTGCATGACACGAGCAGACTGTTGGCATTTCCAAGTGTCATCGTTTTGCCCCACTAATGCCAGCAATCAAACACAATTTGAAACAATTCACAATATTCAGTCAGCACGATAAAGAGGACTGCTCTGTAAAACGATTTCTGTGCTGTCTCAAGTAATAATTTTAGGGAAAAAACTACCGAAACCATACTTTTTCGAAGTAAATATTCAATGCACAACACATCTACCTTAAGTCGCTGTGCATTTCCACAGTGACTTCCTCGTTATAGCTCAAGACCTAATCCAACTTCCAATGACTTCAATGTGGCAAAAAGTGTGATACCAGATTCTCTGTATAATCTTTTTCTCTTTGGGAGTGCTACTTGATCACAGAGAGCTGAAATACACGATATTTACTGAAGCCATCCTATACATATAAACGTGCATATATAAAGACACATTCAACTCAAGGTTTCAGAACAGACACAGTGACCAGAATATCCTTTCCTGAAACAAGTCCAACACCCGTATTCAGATGCTTAGTCCACTGTGGAAAAGGGATGTAAGTTCTCTAACAGCATCTGAGTTCCAGCACCCTGAGCTCATCTTACCAGATCCGATACAGAGTCCGTGTATTTCCAGTAAAACAGGCTGCAAAAACAGTTTTCCTAGGATCCTGCAAAACTAGTGGTGACATGGGATGCCAGGAAGAAGCAACAAAGGGAACGGGGCTTTGACCTGTTAGCCTTCTAAGTCTTTTTCCACAAAAAAACAGGGAAAGGTATGCATCAGACAGATACTCTTACCACTGGCATGAGTTCACTGATCTTGCTCTACCATTTCAACTACCCTCAAAGAAAACTGATCCAGGAAGCCCCTCAATTCCAGAAGATCATCTGAAATCTTTGCCTATGTAACTCTCATTTCCCCCGGGGACAGGCTCTGTTGACTTAACCAATTTGGTTTGAGTTTGACTTTCACATAAGTGGCTAACACTAGAAATTTCCGCCATCCACCCAGTGTCCGATACATTACAAGCTCTGTTCTCAAGAGTGCTTTGAGTTCCTACCCCCATCAATTTTCAAAGACGGCTACTGTGCATTTGTCGCTTTGAATAAGGATAGAAATGAGAACCAGAGATGGGAACCAGATGTCTCAAGGCATTCCCAATCACTCTCAATCTTACCCAATTTATATTTTCACTCTTCATGGGGGCTGGCTTCTTTTCCCCAGACAAATACAGGGTGCTCGTCTTCAACCTCTCTGCCACACCTACGGTTAGTCTCACTTGGCTGGTCTCTATTAAATTTCCCTTTGAAAAGGGTTTCTGAAACAGACCCCCTGGTTTGGAGGAGAAAATCTACAGGAAGCATAGCAATCTGTGAGAACTCTGCCCTTGGGGTTCTTCCCCATACAAAGCAGAAATGCTTGCAACTAATTGTTCAGCATTAGCCATAAAATCTAAAACCAAGAACCAGACAGACAGGGTCCTGGAGTGGAATGACGTGGACACAGGCTGTCAAATACTCTTTTTTCAAGCTCTCAAATAAGACAGTGACACACCTGCATATTTGGCAAGTCTCACAGAGTCTCTGCTGCAGTTTAGAACCTCTAAAACCCTTTTGATAGGCAACAAGAAGGCAGGGAGGAGATCACTGAGATGAGAGAGAGGTATCTCTTCTCCCAACGTTCTCAGCATCAGAGACTTTTAACAAAATTCAACCATAAAAAGCAACGTTAAGTGAGCAATATTTGTTCCTTTCTCTTCAAATCACATGGAGAAATAGGTTGGTGCATGCACACATTCTGTCTCAGGACACATATCCAAAGGAAAATGAACTCTCCCTTGAAGTAAATTGGAGTTCCTAGGACCTGTTTGAGAGACCATGGCCCACCATGACTGTCACTGTTTTCCACCCTCCTCTCTCCCCCTGCCACACAGCAATAACAATCTGCCACACAGCTCATTAGCAAAGGAAAACTATTAGAGAAATCACCTACAAGAGGTCAGAAGAGTTACTCCAGAACACTCCGTGACTGAAATTTCTTCCTTCCCCCCGAGAGGTATTCTCCCCATCCCAACTTCATTAGCCTCTCTCTGCACCTTCAACGTTTCAGAAAACAAGGCAAGGTTAACCTCACTCGTCACTGCATCCCCTACTTTGCAGTTGCGACCCAACATTATCCAAAAAACAATTTGGATAACTGCAGTGAGAAGTGGTGGGATAGTAAATATGTATCTGTGCAATACATCCTGAGTGTATGCAGCTGATTTCTCACATGAACCCAACATAATTTTCATCCCTGACTGTGAAACCACTGGGCTGCTGTCATGGGTCCCCAACTTTTTTGTAATGGTTTTCAAGGGGCTCAGGCTGAATTGCACCTTTAGTTTAAAGTTTTTATCATACGTGGTGGACCTCTACACATATAAAAGGAAATCTGGGACACAGGGAAGGACACGACCTAGCACATCAGTGTCAAAGGGGAGAAATAACTGCAGGCAACCCACAAGGGTACCGGCGAGGCTGCAGCTCAAGTTCCCTGTGATCTTTAGCAGCAGCTGCAAAAAAATCAGGGCATAAAGACGGCAGGAGCAAGGCTAAGGAGGGGCTCCTCCCCAACATGGGTATCAGCGTCCAGAACAGTCGGAGAAATTATACACCCCCCGAGAGCCCAGCGCCGCAGCCCGACCATCTGCCGACCGGCTGCCTCCCCGAAGAGGGAGGTTTCTCCGCGCTCCGGGGAAGGGGAGCTGGGGACTCCTCCCCCCCGGCCATCCCAGTTCAGCAGCCTGTCTCTGTGGCTTGCCCTGCTCTCAGAGGCACCCTTCTCACTCCACAGGGTTTTGCCGTGCTGGGCCGTGCTCTGAAAAGCGAGGCCAGCGCATGGAGCAAGCCCCCGACCTGGTGCTTACACGCCTCCCCAAGAGCCTCCTTTGGAGGCCGCTGAAAGAGAGTGAAAACCCCACGGGGTTGATGAGATACATCAGAAAAAATTGTTCAGAGCTTCTGGTGAGCTCTGTTGGGAGAGGACAGCTGCTCGCAGGGACTCCAGCCCCACAGATGCTCTGTAGGGCAAACACAAAGTGAAATTCCTCCTGAGTGAAGCCAGTAGGGCCACAGCTACGCACATACACGCACGCACACTTGTTTGTTTGTTGCTTTATTTTTTTTTCAATCCTCATGCTGAAAGGAAGCAGAGTCACTTGTGCTTTTAGTTTTAA